AAGCAAAAACAAAATCGAATTGTTTTTTGTTGTTAAGATTGGTATTGCTTCCTGGGATTTGAATCCAACATCAGTGAAGTTTAGAAATATACTTTTAAAACTTTAATATTTTTTGCTTTTATTTTTTAAAAATCTTTTTGTTTTGGAATAATTTCTCTATTTACAGAAAAGTTATAAAAATACAACAGAGATTTTTTTTATACCTATCACCTGGTTTCCTCTAACGTTAGCATCTTACATTACCGTGGTTCATTTGTTAAAACTAAGAAGCCAACTCTAGTAGTGACTATTTCCTAATTTCTTTATAAAGTGTTTCCTAATACTTTATTCAGATTCCACCAGTTTTGCACGAATGTCCTTTTTCTGTTTCAGGATGCCATCAAGGATACCACATTACATTTAGTTGTTACCTCTCCTTAGTCAGCTTTGGTAACAATTTTTTAGTCTTTCCTTGTTTTTCATGACCTCAACTATTTAGAAAAGTATATTCTGGCATACTAGTCAATTATTTTGTAAAATGTCCTTCAGTTTTGGTTCTCTGCTGTTATTCTCAATGTTTTTTTGTTGAATTCTAAGCAAAATTTTACTCAAATGCCTTCTTCAAATTGCCTTGGTTTCACTATGGAATGGCCCATTGAAAATAGGTTCCAAAAGGAATCACAGAATGATTATTATATTATTGGAACATTATAGAAGTTAATTCTAAAAATGCTAAAAAATTATTCAGTTAAATGGCTATTAATTTGGGGACAGTTAAATTATAAGGTATAAAGTAGACTTCTTTTCTCAATAAGGAGATTAAAGAGAAATTCGGTGTGACAAAATCAAACAAGATCAAGAAAAGCTCTATTTGTTCCTTTCCTCTCTTTCAGAAGTGCAGTTCAGAATCATTTCTGCATATTTAAAGAAATTCCCATCTTCTCTCTACAGCTGTAACTGCAGGGAAACCGCCTGAAGGTGGCGTATCGATGAGTCCTAAAAATAAAGGTCCCATCACTTACTCCTGCATAGATCAGCGTGTCAGCTCACTCACCTTCACAGTAAGCAGCTTGGTTAAAAACAAACTTTTGCAACTCTCTTGAAATGCAGAGAGAAGGAGAGTGCTAAGATACACAAAGCTAAATAGCCTTGCCAAAGTTTTCCAGTAAATCCTTTCTAGAGCAAACCAGGCGCTCTTAGAAAACCTGAGGCAGAGGCCCTGAAAGAGTAGGATAAGTGACAGAATTTCCAAAATTCTTAGAATTCAGGAATTTCAAAATTTAGAAATAAACTTTCATACTTTTCAGTTGTGCACTTCACATTGCTTTAACAAAATATTTCCTGTCAAATTACCGTAAACTTCTTGTTGTTAGGACAATGACAAAAGCACAGATTCATAGAGATTTTTATGCTAGAAGACACAAGGAACATTTTCCAGAAGCATCTAAATGCAAGCATAAGACCTGAATTGAATCTGATCTTTTAAGGAATATTTTACTCAAAATGTAACAGAAAGCAGTTCAGAAATAATTTATCCCTCTCTCTGCACTGTGTGCTAACAGGACTTTGAATATACCTCACAGATTTTTTTCCAAAGTTTTGTATTAGTTTTAGCCATATGAAATTGCAAACATTCATCATTTTGATCTACAAAAACGGCAGTTTTATATGGTCTAACTTAATTCTTAGCTGCATATGTATTTGACTTGATCACCAGCTGTAAGCAACTTGAAGGTAGAGGACTATACATTTTTGCCTTTTTATCTCAAGCACACAGCATGCAGGACTGACAAACAAAACATACAGTAAATGGTTGTTACATTGAAACAAATGAATAAGTAAGTGAACTGCTCTCAGAATTCAATACATTTAAAATAAATTGGTAAAGAAATGCATGCTCCCCTTCTTCCCTGGGATGTAGCGCAGGGAAGGGCAAACAACCCACTCAAAAGAAAGCTGAGTTTTTGTTTTGTTTCTTCTTTTTGTATTTTTAAGTGATGTCTACACAATGGCAAATATTTAGATGACTGGCTATATATTCTACTCTTCAGCGGTAAGTTCTGATTCATAGATGTAGTTTAAAACTGAAATATAATTATAGATAATTTCTATTCTTTTTATACGTTATACACCATACAAATAAAAACTTTTCCAGTCCTGCCAGATGTGACCACATAACAAATGTGTGAGTCCCTGCATTTAAATATTTAAAATTTGTGGAATATTATATTAATTTCAAAAGGATCAATAAATGAAATATCCCTTGCATTAGGACTAAGGAATATAAGATGTCATCTCTGGGAAAACGCAATATGGCAATTATGGTTTAACAAACTGGAAATTTCTCAATGTTTTTTCCATTTTTACACTTGTAAAGATATCCTTTTTGTCACACGCTTGTAAAAAATGATACTCCTTGTATTCCTTGTTGTCTAGTCATCTGCACGACTTTCTAAACAAAATCTACTTCTCCATAGCTGCTAAGACGGCTTGTCCACGGGGTGGAGAGCCTGGCCTTGCGCTCAACCCTGCAGAGCCAGGCCAAAACAGTGCCCTGCAAAGGGCCTGGTAGGGAATTCTGGCACTGGAGAGAGAACACAGAAACTTTCTATTTGGGGACATTGGGACATTCTAGGCATGATAAAAGCGACCACTTCTGGGCCTCGTAATGCGTACATCCAACATGTTACATAAACCATTTTATATAATCCTCACAACCTCGCAAGATAAATATTGTCATCCCCATGTTACAGATAAGTAAAGTGGCTCAGAGAATTTAGTTTGTCCACGTCACTTAGCTACAACGCAGACTCTCTCTCTCTCTGCAAAGTCTGTTATCCTTCGACCATACTGTGCCACCACTGTGACAGCCTTCCATTCCTCCAGCAAATACTTATTAGCATTTACTCTGTGCCTGGCATTGTACTAGGCAGTGTGCTTTGGCTTCATGTGGCTTAGTGTAGGGGAGACATAAAATAAACAAACAACTTCCCAAATATATATTGCCTGGGAGGCATAAAGTGCTAGGAAGAGAAACAAAACCAAGTTAATGGAACAGCACGTCAAGACCGCTGCTCTTTAGGGAGGGTGGTCAAAGACGGCCTCTCTGGGGAGGTGCCATCTGAGCAGAGCCCTGGATGAGGTCAGAGAGTGAGATGCACAGACACTTGAGGGAACCACGGAACACCTAGGATAATGCCCTCATGTGGTACTTTGTAAATGCCCTGACATGGAACCAGAGCGGTGGCATTCAAACAAACTATTTTCTGTTAACTACTTGCAATCAGATTATGTCCAACTAAATCACGAGAAGCCCACCAGATCACTCTCTGGGAACTGCCTCCATACACCATGTTCGCCACCCAAGAAGGGCACTTCCTCTGGGCAGAGGAAAACAACTGAGAACGTCAAACCTCAATTTCCTATCTGTGCCTGCCATTTTGCCAGTTCAGCCACTGTCGACGAGTGTAACCCAGCTTTCCATGAAATAATTGCCCTCCAAAACCTGAATGGGGCTCTAGTGCTCCCTCTGAGCTCTGCAGCTGCCTCTAGAAGCGCAGGAAAGCCACATCAGGAGTGAACTTAATCAGACAAAGAACCTTCCAGAGCAAGCAGTGAAGGAGGGTGCTGCCTTGTGCCAGGGCTTTCATGCAGTTATAGCCAGCTTCACATGCCTACAGAGCCTGAGGAGACCATAGGTCAACTTCATAACAGTGGAACCCACTCATGCTTTCCTGCTCAATGAGGGCCCGCACCTTTTGTGGAGAATATAAAAGCCAATAAAACACATCAATTCTCAAGTTTATGATCTAGTGGAGGACATGGACAGTACTCTTATAATCCTAAATGCCATGGGTGGTACATAGTCTAAAAAAGTATGGAAGAACAAGAGATTGCTTTTAATTAGAGAGATGAAATCAGGTGTAATGTAAAGTGTCTAGAAATATGTCTGGCACTTAGTAAATACTCAATAAATATTAGCTATTACTATGATCAGGATTGGCTTGACATGGGAAGCAGAATTTGAGGCAAGGTAGGATTGCCAGGCAAATTACAGGATGTCCACTTAAATATGCATTTCACATGCACCACAAAAATATTTTTAGTATAAGTATGTCCCAAACGTTGCAACGGACATACTTATACTAAAACGTATTTGTCGTTCATCTGAAATTCAAATTTAACTGGGCATCCTGGTTTTTTATTTGCTAAATCTGGTAACTGTCAGCCAAGGAAAATTTTAATATGGAGATGAAGAGCAGAGAAAGTAAATTGGCATGTCCCAAGACATAGAAACAGAAAGAAATGGTATTTTTCATGGCACTTTATGTTCTCCAATAGTTAACGCTTACTGATTACTTACTATGTGGTGATCACTTCTCTGAGGGCATTACAAGGATTAACTCATTTATTCTTCATAAAAACATGTGTGACAGGTTGTCACTATCCATCTGAGGTGTAAAGAGGTGAAGTAATTTCTCCAAAAGCACAGAGCTGGGAAATGGTGTGGCTGGGATTACAAAGCTAGGATGTTTGGCTCCAGGGGCTGCTGTCTTAACCATTTTGGAGAACGGCAAAGAATCTCTTTAAGGTAAGCTTCCAGAAGGCCTTCTGGGTCAGCCTACCACCACAGTCATTTGTTTAAAAGTCAGACCATGCAACCGTAATTCCTACATAAAGTGAAAGACCATTTGTCAAATCGCGGCTTCACAGTGGGCTACAGCTAGCTGGCCTCAGCACTCTCCATATTCCTTCAAGTATGCAAGTGTAGGCATGTCTTCCTGTGTTCCCCTTTGCCCTTCCAAAATCACTCTGTTCCCGGAATGTGGGATCTTCCCCGAAATGCTGCTGCCGCCTTTGCAACAGCTTATCGGAAGCAAACAAGCTTGGGGGAATTGAGCAAGAACTTCTGGGACACCAACCTCACAGAAGGACCAAGGATGTAGGGTGTACGCTGACTGTCTAAATAGGACAAAGATAATGATTAATCAAACCTCTCGCAGATTTAAATGGGAAGGGAACTAGGAGTGGAGGCAATCCTCCTTTCTTTCAGCTGGAGTGCTCCTACGAGCCAGTCTCACCCTCAGAAAAGATGTTTTCCATGAGAATCTTCTGCCTGGTCCTGAGTGTGGTGGGCACAATTGGGGTATGTTCCTCTTTATTTTCGCTTCTTGCTTTCTCTCTGGTGTTTATTCTACAAAGAGCGTGCAGGTCTGAGTCAGCCTGATATACATCCTCACACACTGTTAGCTTGATAAGAGCTAGGCCATGGAGGCAAGGTCCTAGATGGAACTGACACCTCAATGGTACAGGCTAATATGACCCTATGAGGGAGACTCAGCTGGACCAAAGTGTGTAAATTCAAAGGGGAAGATTTAGCATCTTTAACTCAGCCTCACATTAGTTTTTTTTTTAAGGCAAGAAATTTCTGCCATTTTTATTGCTATAAAGCCTCGGGATAGTTAACACTGGTTAACAGAACAGAACATTCTTATGATAAGAGTTTTTTAAATCTAATTATTAATTTCTTGCTGTTTGTCCATAAATAAGCAGAAGGGTGATTTTATATAGGTTTTCTGAAAGGTTGCTTTTCTGTTTCTTTTAAGACAAATAAAAAGCAAATTAGTTGTCTTTGAAAACATATTACATAGCATAGTCAGAAGAGATTAATTGATAAGGCAATATGGTTTTTTGGAAGCAATTGTATTCTTTTAAGATAATTACTAAATATTGCAATAGCTTCTAAAGTTTGACTCCAGAGACCTATAGAAAAGAAGAGAAATTTCATTTAAAGCAAGGCCTTCAAGACACTTCAATCTTGTAAAAACATGATGAATATGCTCAAGAAACTCACTTACTTCCCAGTTGTGAATTATTTCAATTTATTTCTTTCCTTTCACCACTCATGAACCATAATGCCAGAGCAGAAAAAACTAAAGAGCGTTTCTAACTTAACTTTCTCCCTCATAGTAAAATAACAAGTAAAACTTTTTTCTGGGAAATAAAACTAACATCATTTGCTAAAGTGGTGTTTTGGATAATGCATAAGTTTCAGTTATTTCTCCCTTATTGGCATAAATATTTAATTTTTGCCTGTTTTCATTGTTGTGCCATTTTATTCTGAAATATGTTTGAATTTATAATTTTATTTCTTAGACAAAAAGATTGTACTTGTTCCTTCAAATAAATTGTTCTTGGTTGCTTGAATTAGTATTATCATTATTCGGGTATCTTTATAAAACTGAGATGGCAAACGTTAACCAAAAATCCTTGTAAGTTGGCGGTACCAAATAAAAATGGCTAAAACTTAAAACCCACATTGATTTATTACGATATAAAGTCATGTGGGAAGGATGGTTTTTACATCCTATTTTACCTCAAGGATCACAGTAGAAATTTTAAAAAAATCTATATTTCTAATAACAAATTATTCAAAAAATATTGTCAGTCATGGACCATTATTTTTGCTTTCAGTCTACTTTTTTTCATTTCAAATAAAAAAAAATTATTACATGAGTGAGTAATCTAAAAAGCATTTCCAAGTCTGTATTGGCTACATATGTGTCCTTGGTATATATTTGCTCAAATTATGGACCCGTAAGGTCATAGTAGATACATGAAGGAGAGACAGACGTTAAGCTAAGACAGTGTGGGGTTTCTTCTACTGAAATAGGAATGAAAGGAGAAAGAACTCTTTGAATTTTTCAATTATCTTTCTATCTCCAGACATTAATGAAAATGGAAAGGTAAATTTTAACTAATTTTGTTGATTCAAATAATTTTCCTTTTATAATAGATGCATTTGTTAAATGCTTGTTTAGTGTCAAGCACAGTTAAGGAATTTGTACACCTCTTCTCCTTGACTTCTCACAACAACTCCATAAAACGGGTATTAGGACTTTCATTGGAAACAGAAGTGACCTGAGCTTTGCAGAGGCCCCAGAGCTGGTGCCCTTAATCTCTGTGAGCCAGTCTCTTCCTTGGGATTTCAGGTATGCCAATGTCTCCTCCTTATCTGTCTAATATTTCTGTCTTCTGTATGTGTGAATGAATTCTTAAATTCAATCACAAACGACAAAGACCGAGGAAGGTGAATTTCTACATGAAGGAGGAGGTGTGCGTGGCCCACGAGTTGTGGAAAGACAGCAATCTGCCTGCAAAGAGACGGACTGGCCCTTCTGCTCTGATGAAGACTGGGTGAGCAGTGGGCATCTGGAGCGGGAGGATCCTTCCCTGTGGTGTTGGAAGTGCGCACAGGCAGACCAGTTAGGTCACGGAGAATAATCTAGTCGCTCCTCAAATATCAACTTAAAGAAGAGAAATGAGAGGAAGCTCGTCCTGAGAGCACTATTTAAATTACCTTCCAAACTCTGGGTCATTAGTGGAATTAACAGGTTGGATTTTAGTTGCAGGCTCCGGCAAATACTAAGAACCTGAGTACTATGGCCTCAAGATTTCACGGGACCTAATTTAGGGTTAAGTGGACCCTCATTCCAGAACTTCTCTATGATCTCTGACTAGTCCTCTTCAAGTACTTTTAAGTAAATGGATGCTCTGAAGAGATGGGGGAGGGGAGCAATGGGGGCTGCATGGAAACCTTCAAAATTGTACTGGATCCAAGAGATAGACACTTAACGTAATTTTTCCTCTGCACTTTCAGAACTATAAATGCCCTTCTGGCTGCAGGATGAAAGGGTTGATTGATGAAGTCAATCAAGATTTTACAAACAGAATAAATAAGCTCAAAAATTCACTATTTGATTATCAGAAGCACCATAAGGACTCCAATTCATTGATCAGGAATATAATGGAAGTTTTGAGAGGGGATTTTGCTGATGCTGGCAGTAAGTATCACACATTTAGTGCCTTGACTTTATAGCACACAACAAAAACCCTAAATAATTATGATGTCTCCTTTAGCAACTGCAATTTTTATTCCAAAGTACTTGGTGTAAAAACATGTGTCTTTACAATATTCCTTAATTTTAAAGATGGGCTTGTTTTTGTTATTTTTATTACATAAAAAAAGACTAGCTTAGAATTGTTTGAAGTCACAAAGAAAGTCAGAATTTTGTACTGAAGACTTTAAGTGTGTTCTTTTCAAGAGTATAAACTGCAAATAGGATGGACCCAACGTTTTGCGTAGATATTTTCGTTTCTGTCTTACAGAAGAGGAAACTAAGAGGGCAAGGAACTTGCCCACAGACACAAAGGTATCATACGATGGAGCTGGGAGTCCAATCCACAGACTCCAGCAAGCTGATGTGTAGTTATTTTTTTTAATTTAAAATATAGAGCCATATTATATCTTTCTTACGAGACTAGGACTAGGTCTCAGCAGGACTTGGAAATCACTGAATTCTCTCTGGGCATGAGCAGCAAGTTCAGTGAGGCCCTAGTTCCTGACACCTTGATTTGACTCTTTATATTCATTAAGAAACACTTGACTACTTTAAAGTCAATTGTGCAATAATAACTGGCAAGTGAATGATCCTGTTGACCTAAAAAAAGCTTAGGAACAATTTCATGTCTACAGGTAGGAAGAAAAGATTCTCAGTAAAAAAAATCCAAGAATATGTTCAAGTCACTTGACTAAGGATATGATGAAATAATTAGGACGTGATCAAACTGATTATTTTATCTCCTAATCGCACCTTTAAAATTCCAAAGAGATTTCTTCTGCATTTCTTTGGATTTCTAGTTCCCAGTAGGGCATCTTAACTGACATTTCTGGATGATTGTAAGACATAACATTGTCCAAAAATCAAATTCCCAATAGATTTGGAATTCACAAATTACATGTCCAGAGAAGAACATTAGCAAAATGAAATGGGGTATATTTACCTGCAAATTTCCTTCTTTGGCTGGCGGTCATAAGCAAATTACTCAGCAGCTACTTCAATATCTACATTTCCTATTTCAGACAGAGATAATACATTTAACCAAGTGTCAAAAGATTTGCGAAGCAAAATTGAGATCCTGAAGCGCAAAGTCATAGAACAAGTACAGCATATCAACCTTCTGCAGAAAAATGTCAAGGCTCAGCTGATAGATATGAAACAACTGGAGGTAAGCAAGTATATGGCTCTGACACTAGATTTCCTCATTTTTGAATAGCAGGGAATAGCTGGGGAAAAAAGGGCAATAGCCACTCATTGAATGCCTACTATATATAGAGAAAAGTGTTATATCTACTAGCAACCTAGAAAGTACGTGTTATTTCCCCTACTCTACAGATGAAGAAAAAGCTCAGTGATATTAAGTAAATCTTCCAAGGACGCATAGGTAGAAAATTTCAAAAGTAAATATTTAGTCCCTGCTTGTCCTATTCCAAAGTCTTGATGCTGCTGTGCCTCTGTCTTCAGCCTCAGTCTCATTGAGGATCACTTCATTAGTGTTTCCTTTCAGAGGGAATAGCATCCTACTCTTGATCTGTTCTAAGTCTTGATGAATCCAAATAGCTGCTACTGCTTATCCTGACTAGCCTGACAATACCCGACATCTCTTCCACTGAAGATACTACATAAATGAAAAATAGAGTACTGTTTGGGAGATCTCCAAGTCAAAGAAATAAAATCAGTTTCCAAAAATATAAATTAATTACTAGAACTCAATAGACGTAGTTTATTTATTTACATCTACCATTTTTCCTTATGTTTCCCTCCCTCTCTCTAGGTGGACATTGATATTAAGATCCGCTCTTGCCGAGGGTCATGCAGTAGGGCTTTAACACGTCAGATAGATCTAAAGGACTATGAAGATCAGCAGAAGCAACTTGAACAGGTCATTGCCAGAGACTTACTTCCCTCTAAAGATAGGCAATACTTACCACGGCTAAAAGTGAGCCTGCTTTCAGACTTGCTTCCTGCAGATTTCAAGAGTCAGCTACAGACGGCCCCTCCAGAATGGACCGCACTAACGGAAATTCAGCAGATGAAAATGGAGTTAGAGACAGCTGGTAGAGTTGGGAAGCCCCAAGTAGACCCTGTACCTCATGGGACAGGATCAGTGCCTGAAAGCCCCAGGCACCCTGGATCTGGCAGTGCCAGCACTTGGACCTCTGGGAGCTATGGACCTGGTAGTGCAAGCACTTGGAACCCTGGGAGCTCTCAACCTGGTAGCAGTGGCCCTTGGACCTCTGGGAGCTCTGGACTTGGTAGTGCTAGCACTTGGAACCCCGGGAGCTCTGAACCTGGTAGCGATGGCCCTCGGAAGCCTGGGAGCTCTGGAACTCTAAGTGCCAGCATTTGGACCTCTGGGAGCTCTGGACTTGGTAGTGCTAGCACTTGGAACCCTGGGAGCTCTGAACCTGGTAGCGATGGCCCTCAGAAGCCTGGGAGCTCTGGAACTCTAAGTGCCAGCATTTGGACCTCTGGGAGCTCTGGACCTGGTAGTGCTAGCACTCGGCACCCTGGGAGCTCTGAACCTGGTAGCGATGGCCCTCGGAAGCCTGGGAGCTCTGGAACTCTAAGTGCCAGCATTTGGACCTCTGGGAGCTCTGGACCTGGTAGTGCTAGCACTCGGCACCCTGGGAGCTCTGAACCTGGTAGCGATGGCCTTCAGAAGGCTGGAAGCTCTGGAACTGGAAGTTCTAGCAAGTGGATCGCTGGGAGCTCTGGAACTGGAAGTGGTAGCATTTGGAGCTCTGGAAGTTCTCAGCCTACACGTGTTAGGCCAGATAGCTCAGGGCATGGGAACACCAGGCCTATCAACCCAGACTGGGGTACATTTGAAGAGGTGTCAGGAAGTGTAAGTCCAGGTACAAAGAAAGAGTACCACACAAGTAAATTGGTCACTTCTAAAGGAGATAAAGAGCTTCTGATTGGTGGTGAGAAGGTCACCTCTGGCAGTACAACCACCACTCGCCGTTCATGCTCTAAAACAGTTACTAAGACTGTTATAGGTCCTGATGGTCACAAAGAAGTTACCAAAGAAGTAGTAAACTCAGAAGATGGTTCTGACTGTGGTGATGCAGTCGAGTTAGACTTGTTCCGTACTTTCCCTGGCGAGGGTAGCCTAGATGGTTTATTTCATAGGCACCCTGATGAAGCTGCTTTCTTTGACTCCTTTAGCAGTAAGACCCAGTCTATGGGTTTAGGATCTGACGGCTTCACGGACTCTCATCACTTTGGTGTACCTGAGTATCCTTCAAGTGGTAAAACTTCAAGTCACAGCAAACAATTTGTGACCAGTAGCACAACGTTCAACAGAGGAGGCTCTGCAAGTAAGAGCTTTAAAATGGCAGATGAGGCGGGAAGCGAAGCAGGTCCTGAAGACCCCAGAGGAGCACATGCCACCAAGGGAAGCCATGTTAAAGTTCGCTCTGCAAGAGGTATCCACACTTCTCCCTTGGGGAAACCTTCCCTGATCCCCTAGACTAAGCTCATTATTCTTGCAATATGCTCCCAATAGCACCTTGCACTTCTTTCCTAGCCCTCTATCACGCTTTATTGAAATTACACTTTTTTTGTTTGTTTTTGTTAGACTGTAAGTTCCATGGGGGCAGGGACTTTGTCTATCATGTTGATCTCTGTATTCCCAAATGCTTAAGAGTGCAGAGTCATCACTCAATAAACACATGCTCAATGAATGAAGGAATCCCTCTGAAACTCGATTTTGAGTTTGTTTAACCAAATTCTTTCACCATTCAAAACGTGCACTGTTCAAATTGTTCCTCAATTTACTAATCATATTTTTCATGTGTGACTCAGTTAACATGGAGATCAGCCTAAAAACGAGTTATATGAACATGAAATGATGCCTAGATACTTTTGCTGGTTACTTGCTATTAATCAGTACGTGCAAGTAAAATTCCAAATCCATTGAGGAAAATCCCCTTTGCAGTTTGTTGGTGTAAATGCTCCTCACTTGCATAAGTTCCATCCCAATGTAAGTGCATCCTTCTCCATGGAAGGAAGGAAGGAAGGAAGGAAGGACGGAAGGAAAGATCGAAGGGAAAAAAGCCGGTATCTGCTTTCATTTAATCTGGGCCGTGCCTATCTTTGTAAAGTTAAATGACAGTAATTTCTTCCAACCAGCTTAATTTTTTTTTTAGACTGTGATGATGTCCTCCAAACACATCCTTCAGGTGCCCAAAGTGGCATTTTCAATATCAAGCTACCGGGATCCAGTAAGATTTTTTCTGTTTATTGCGATCAAGAGACCGGTTTGGGAGGATGGCTTTTGATCCAGCAAAGAATGGATGGATCACTGAATTTTAACCGGACCTGGCAAGACTACAAGAGAGGTTTCGGCAGCCTGAATGACAAGGGGGAAGGAGAATTCTGGCTAGGCAATGAATACCTCCATTTACTAACCCTGAGGGACTCTGTCCTTCGGGTTGAATTAGAGGACTGGGCTGGGAACCGGACTTATGCAGAATATCACTTCCGGGTAGGCTCTGAGGCCGAAGGCTACGCCCTGCAAGTCTCCTCCTATGAGGGCACGGCGGGCGATGCTCTGATTGAGGGTTCTGTAGAGGAAGGCACAGAGTACACTTCTCATGCCGGCATGGAGTTCAGCACCTTTGACAGGGATGCAGACAAGTGGGAAGAGAACTGTGCGGAAGTCTACGGAGGAGGCTGGTGGTACAACAACTGCCAAGCGGCCAACCTCAATGGCATCTACTACCGTGGGGGCTCCTATGACCCGAGGAACAACAGTCCTTATGAGATTGAGAATGGAGTGGTCTGGGTCCCCTTCAGGGGTGCCGATTATTCCCTCAGAGCTGTTCGCATGAAAATCAGGCCCCTGGGGAACGAACAGGCTAAAAGAGGCGATGTGAGAGCACCGCTTTCTCTGTTTAGTGAAGTGGAGAAAAAATAAGGAGGATAAAGGAGTCAAGATTATTTATAACCTACTTAAAAATTCCCAGGTGCTATTTTACTATTCTTTGTACTGTAGCTCAATGTAACTGAGACATATTAGTGCTTTAAAAAATAAAGTTTTATGAGTTTTTTAATCTTTACAATAGCTCTGTGGGTTTTAAAATTTCTATAAGGATACACCAAGGGACCTTCAGTACTCAGGAAGAGAGAGTCACATGAAAGCTCCTCTCTGCAACCCTAAAGGGTGTTGTTTTGAGAACTTCCCCTCTTTTCACACCATCCAAAGTCATAGGGCTGATGTAAAGTAAAAAAGTTATTTCAGGGGCTGGCCCAGTGGCACAGCGGTTAAGTGCCCACATTCCGCTTCAGTGCCTCGGGGTTCACTGGTTCTGATCCCGGGTGTGGGCATGACACTGCTTGGCAAGCCATGTGGTGGTAGGCGTCCCACATAGAAAGTAGAAGAAGATGGGCATGGATGTTAGCTCAGGACCAGTCTTCCTCAGCAAAAAGAGGAGGATTGGCAGCAGATGTTAGCTCAGGGCTAACCTTCCTCAAAAAAAAAAAAAAGCTATTTCATCCACTCTATTTGAATGGTTTTAAACCAATATTTTAAGTTACAAACCACTGAGTTGAACAAGGGCTGGCCTTTGTAGAGGAATTTACAAATTACAAAGTACGTTCATCTCTTCTGCTAGCAAGCAAACCCAGGAAGGCAGAAGCATTCTTTCCTAATAGAAAGAGAAATCTATTCTTTAAGTCTTCCCATGAAGACTATAGCACACATTTAGTTTTTTCCCCACAGTCTAACGAATTTCTTTCAAAAATACATGGAAAAATGCATTTAAAATCTTTTAAATATTTACAAATAGTCCAAAAACAGATTGAATTTACGTATTAATAACCAATCCCCACAGTACTCATTGACTTCATTTTCCCACCAATCATAAAGTATCTTCTGTGATACATTAGCTGTTATCGAAGTAAGACATTTGTTGGAAAGCATCTCACTAAATATGATCTATACCATATTCATAAATTCAACATAAACATTGGTCAATATTTTATTTGATCCAAGTTTCATCTTTTATTTTACTGACCTTGGCTCTTGCCCCCAGTTTCTAACTCATATTTTCCTCTAGTGAGAACTACTTGCCATTTACCCCTGAAAATGTATTAAAATATCCCAAGTACATTGAGATCCCAGTATAGTGCTCTCACTTGCAAAGTTTCTATGCCAATGTAACTGCATCCTTTCTCCTAGGAGGGAAAGACAGAAGGAAGGAAAGAAGGAAGGAAGAAAAGAAGGAAGCAGGCTAGGGCTAGAGGCCAGAGTCTGGGGAGCAGAGGGAAGGTGAGCATAAGAGCTTGCAAATGAGTCACACATACGAAGCCCCAGGATTCTTGCACTTCCTTAAGTGCAATTGAAAATCCTTGATACAAATAAGTGATACAGCTCCACATCTTTGGATAATTGGATAAGAACTTCTTCAGAATTAAAAGAAGTTTCATTTATTTCAGATATCCGAGTTCTGTTATCTCTATGCCCACCTCATTTACCCTCACACATATGCCTCCACAGAATTTGAATTGGGAGTAGGAAGCATTTTATTTTCCAGAATATCACACTATTAGGGACAGAATCAGGTCCCCAGATGAAAGTGACTGAATGTAAAGGGCCGTTCATTTCACATTTATTTTGAAGGCTTTGACTTTATTTGCAAAGAATAGATAACCTCTTTTAATTTAATAAACAAATAACCAATATTAGCAGAATCATGATAATTGGAGATACAGTTTGGTTGTGAGAAAAGACACCAAACACATCTTTTCCATTTTACCTTATCTTTAACCTATTGCTCTATTTCCCTTATTCCTGAAATTAAATATTACTTCAGTTTTGCTGACACTCATTCGCATTGAAACCCACTTTAACTTGGTTACCACTCTCTTGAAATTGCTTTCCTTAAAGTCAACAAAAACGTTGTAGTTCTAAATTTAGTGTCCTACATTCCAGCTTCTTCCTGCTTGACTTCTTTTAAACATTTGATACTATTGTCCCATCCCACCTCTTCAATCTGTATTTTTTTCTCTTGATTTCTGGTATGCCACTCCCACCTGCCCCACCTTTTTAGCCTTTTTGCTTGGCAATTCCTTCTTAGTCCACTCCTTAAATGTAGGAGTTTCTCCTTACAATAACATTAGTACTCATTTTTATCAGCTGGGATTAGGTTTGACACATGTGGCTTAAACAAGACAGAAATTTACCTCTTGTTCACAGAAAAGTCAATAGGAATACAGAAAAGTCTTCAGGAAGCCATCATCCTAATAAACGGCTTCCATCTTCAAGTTTACCTCAGGGTCCAAACGTCATGTCCTGTGACAATCTGGGAGAAAGAGAAAAGACAGAAGTGGAAAGGAATACCTTCTCTCTTTTTAGAAACTTTAATGGATGTTCCATATAACATTTCTATTTACATCTCATTAGCCACAGCTTTGGCACATAGACATACATAGCTGCAGGAGAGGCTGAGACACCTTGATTTTTAGCTTAGTTATAAGGCTATCCTAATTAAAATTAGGATTCTGTTAGTAAGGAAGAGAGAGAGAATAGATGTTGAGGTAGGCAATTGACAGTCTTAGCTAGAGCATATTTTCTCACTCTGCAAGTGAGTCTCTTTTCTGCTTGGTTGATTTGACTATCCCCTTAGATTCAAAGACCACCAATAGATTGATGATAGCCAAATCTAAAACTTCAGCCCTGACCTTCAGATCCTCATCTTCGGCTGATACTGAACACATCCAGTTAGATATTTCTCATTAATCTGTCTAATATCTATCAACATCTATTGCATCTTCCATATTTCCTATCCTAGTCAAAGTCATCATTAGCCCTCCAGTTTCCTAATCTAGAAAACTTGGGCTCCTTCTTAGCTTCTATGTTTCCTTTAATTCCCATATCTAATCCATTCCCAAACTATCTTCCACTCTAAAAATGGCCATTCTTACAGCACTTTTATGCTTTCATGTTATCTTCTGTTAATTTTTTCCCATTTGGGCTGTTTAACAGTCTCTTAATCTCTCACTTTACCACCCTTCTTTTGCTCACTCATTCTCCAAAGTTATCTTTTAAAAAGTGAATCCAAGCATGCCTTTCTCCTGCTTAAGGCTTGAAGGTTGAGTTAACATTTCTTAGCTTTGCATATAAGCTCTTTCACAAATTGGTCTCTTTCCAACCTCTGCAGTCACCCCTACGCTTCAATTACATTGAATTTCTCACTAGTATTGGAATTCCAGGTCCTTTAATGATTTTGTGCCTTTCCATACACTGCCCAGAAGCCTCTCATTCTTCCCTTAAAATACAGCTCCGTGATGTTCCTTCTGTAAACCCTTCCCTAATGGCCACCGTAGAACTTTGAATTGTTCTCTGGGCCCTCCTAGATCTTGATCATATCTCAAAAGTAACATAGTAGATCCCTAACATATTTGTTTCTGTTATTACAGCACTAGACTGTGAATTCTTTTAGGCCAAAGATCATTTAAGTACTCTTTCCTGCCCTATGTAAGAATGTCTTACTCCAAGACTATACCAATAAGTTTTCAAAGTTTCTTTAAATATTTTTGTTGTTTTTCCTTTCTCATTTAAATATTTAATTAATCTAGAAATTATTTTAATATGTTATAAAGAAGATATACTTTGGTATTTTTGTGGATGGATAACCAGTTATGTTGGGATCATTTATTCAATAAAGCATTCTTTTCCCATGGAACTGAATTGCCAATTTTGTTGAATAAAATTTCTTTGGATCTGTACATAGACTCTCTCCTGTGCTTACATACCTCCTTGCTCATCTTTAAAGTATAGATTTTGGATGAAATAGTCTCCATCTTACTCTCCATGTTTTTCTTTTTCTTTTTAGTCTAGAAAAATTATACTTTCAATTTTTTACTTCTTTTGTTTGTTCTATCAGGTACTTAGAAAAGTCTTCCTTAATTTCCAATTAGTTACTTTTTTAGAGAGTTAAAGTGAGTCATCTTTTAGTTATTAATTTACAAATATTTCATAAACTAGTTTAACCAGTTATTTTATTCTGTTTTAGAATTTTTAAGGTTTTCTTTGCAGACAAGTACACGATTAACTTTTGTAAATGTTTTATAGGCAAAAAGAAGAATGCATATTTTTACATTTATAGGTTACAAAATTTTATATTACCACGCTTGTTAATGGTGTTATTTACATATTCTGTATCTTTTCCTATTTTCTGTAATTGATTTATCATTTTTTGAAATTTGTACGTTTATACATGTACACATTTATATGCACACACATGTATGTGTCTGTGTGTATGTAACGAAGTCTCACTGTGGTTTTGAGTATGTGTGTGACCTCTTTGCACTCTGGGAATTTTGTTTTGTGTTATTGGCTCTTTCCTTATGTAGTATATGAAAGTTTATGACTGTTATATCTTCTCCACGGATTGTACTTTTTATCATTACATAATATCCCTCTTTTTCTTGTTTCATCCTTTAGTAATTGAATTCTACCCTGTCAAATATTAATATTACCATCACTCCCAATTTTTTCCTTGCATTTACCTACATATCTTTACATGTCATTTTATTTTTAACATTTTTTATCACTTTGTTTAGAAGACTTTCCCAAAATAATAGGTGGAGATGGATTTTTATATCACAATTTTATTTTAGATTTCCTTTTAAATCTTTTCCCTTTTCTTAACTTTTTTTTTTTTTGAGAAGAGTAGCCCTGAGCTAACATCTGCCACCAATCCTTTCTTTTTTCTGAGGAAGATGGGCCCTGAGCTAAGATCCGTGCCCACCTTCCTCTACTTTATATGTGGGTTGCCTGCTACAGCATGGCTTTACAGGCAGTGCGTATGTCCTCACCCAGGATCTGAACCGGCGAACCCTAGCCTGACAAAGCAGACCATGCAAACTTAACTGCTGCACCACTGGGCCGGCCTCTCCCTTTTTTTTAACTCTTGACGTGTTGTTCCTTTATTTTCAAGCTTTCTTTCTCAATTAATTTAGAAGATTTTCTTATAAACAGCTGATGAATTTTTTAAAACCCACTTTTATTTTTCATTTACTTTTAAAGTATTTTTGTTTCCTCTTTCCTTAACTTCTGCT